AACATAATTTTTTTATGGCAGACATATTTTTTTTCATTGCAACATATACTGAATATATAGCAACATAAACGCAATATATATCACCTGACGACGACTGCGTGAATTAATGAATTAAATTAGTCAGTCATTATTTTTATTTCTCTCCCCTTAATCAAACCCACAAAAAGGGGGATGGAGATTGAATGAATATAGTAACTTACTTTAGGCATCAATGTAGTTACTAGTACAACACCTGTGTATTACACGGGTGCTTGTTAAATTTTTTTCTTAAAATTTAAAATTAATGAGAAAAAAGTGGTTGAAAATTTAAATATTTTTTATAAAAATGTATATATTATTATATATTTTAGTATGACACTTGTTACTTGTGTGACTTTCATGTGTCATATTTATAACATATAACTACATTAAACATAAATATATTAGTTGAGAAATAATTTTATTTTTTAATTAACTTTAGTAAATAATTTTATTATTATTATAAACATAAATATAATTTATTTATTTTATATATACAAAATGGATGTCAAATCGAAACTCATCAAAAGACGATTAATTTGATATATTATATATGTAAAACCGATAAGAAATACAAAAGTTATTAACTTTTAAATACATTTACAATTCAATGGTTATAATAGGCAATGGTATTAAAATACAATTAATACATTTAAAATGATCATAAATAAATCAATATATTTATGGTAATCTGAACCTAATTATTTTGGGATTAAAATTAAATTAAAATCTATCCAAGCCAAACAATGAAGCATGAAATTTTGACACATAAGATCCCGAAGCATGCGGGCCTGCCACTTAGGCTCAGCGCATTCGGGAATTATATATGATATGGGATATTATATACCAGACCGGTTCTATTGGGCTAACCGGGGAAAACAGACCGTTTCGTTGGATTACCTAAATAAGGCAGGACGATATGGTCGAACCAGACCAGGCACCTGCAATGAAAGACAGAGAGCAGGCAGCAGGGACTAATGGGATCAGAAGTGGTCGATGATGCGGTTACTCGAGGAGTTGGTCGAGGGAGGACGGTCGGATAAGGCGTGGCCGTACAGAGTTGGTCGAGGGAGGACAGTCGGATAAGGCACGGTCGCACAGAATTGGTCGAACAACAGAGCGCATAAGGGAATCTCCAGCACGTGAAAGGGAAGACATGCGGTGTCCTATGAGTGGCTTATGGCTATAACTAACTCTGACATTCTCTGACACAGGGGACGCGTTCCCTGACATCAAGGATAGTAGAGGCGCGCGGCCGTACGGACGAGCAGAGGACAGCTGGCTGAACTCGCCCTACTCGCGCGTGTAGAACAGGTAGCTCGCCCTTATAAATAGGAGCGAGGATCCTCACTTTAAACATGATCTCATA